CCCCCCTCTCCCACCCACGTCCTCCGAACTTCTCCAGCAGGCACCGTTACACATTTGGGGATTTTTTTCGAGCCTCCTGTTGAAACCACAAAAAACTCTTGATAGTGACGTTACATTTCAAAGACAGAGAAGGGGAAAAAAAACAATACTCCCTCCCCCCTCAGCCTTTTCTGTCCTCCACCACCTCCAGCCCCAACCCCGAGGAAAACTTATTGGCCTGGGCGAGACAGATCTGGTGGGGGCCGGAGCCCGAGACTGACCATTCTTTAATAGACAAAGAAATCCCAGACCAAACCGGGGTCTGTTACACCACGTCTCTCCGCCAAGCTCATTTCACTCCCTAAATCTGCGCTGCGGACACACAGGGGCACAAGGATCTGCATAATTACAGCCACAGCCGCTCCCCTTTTTAATAAACCGACATAATTCCCTAATAAACGTACCCTTCCCCCACCTTCTCGTTTCCCCAGACCCCAACCCAAGGGAAAGGGGATCCGTGTCTTTTTACTGCGTCCCCTAAGTCTATAGATGAGCTCAGTTTGAAACGAGGTATTACAAGATTTCGGTGTTACAGAGCCTTTATCTGAGCTACAGACACTTTCAGATCCCCAGCCCCCACCTCCTCTCTTTTTTGTTGTCTCTTCTCCTCCCGGGGGCTATTTGACAAAGGCAGTGTGTTAACTAACATTTTTGTTTAACTCAGCAAGTTCTTTTCAAAACATACTTAAACCTGATAGCAATCTCTTGTATTTTTTCTTTCTTTCCCCGAGATGATGAAACTGACTCTGAACTCAATGCGTTTGGCTATTATTAATTATTTCTATCTTTGCAGGTATCACATATACAAACCTATAGTTAATTTACACACACACACACACACACACACACACACACCCCCCATCACACACATTCCAGTACACATGAAAAAGTTCCAAAGGGGGGGGGGAGGAAAAGAAAACCAAAATCCTCAATCTGATTCCTGGAAAGTTTTGTTCGAAAGAGAAATAAATCGACAATAATACACAGCATTTCAGTTCTGCCCTCACTGCCCCAGATTTGGCATTCACCTACTGAAAGTGCGTCTACCGAGCAGTGACCTAAGAGAAAAATCACAGCCGAATAATATAGACATTTCGCTGAGACTCTGAGCTAAATAGTGTCCTTCCCGATTGGCTTTTGTTGTTGTTGTTATTTTGGCTGGAGCCGCACAAAAAAACACGCACCCGGACGTTACTATAAATAAAAGCCTTCCAGGTCTAGGTCTGCTGCCGGCGTTTCCTCCGGAGCCTTAACAGCCCTTTTTCAGCTCCTTTCTTGGGCAGATCGCGGGGATTAAATGCCCTGAACCTGAGCTCCTGGCCTTGGATGGGAAGGGAAAGAAAAAGAGAGAGGGAGAGAGAGAAAGGAGAGGGTGAAGGAGCCAGGCGCCCTCTGGGCTTTCAGAGGTCAGCGCTTTGACAGTGCTCTGACCTCCCTCCCCTCCCGGCAACCACCCCAGTGTTTATAAACAAAAACAGTCAGGACTAGCCCCAAACAATAGCAATTCACCAACTTCACAGGCACTTCACTAGCTCTTATGCAAATCAAGGAAAACGACCGCTTACCACCGCTCCCCCCCACACACCCCCTCCGCCTCATCTCCTGCAGAAAGCCCAAGAGCATATTTCCAGCAGTGATATATCCAAGGGAAAAATTTTACATTCTATCCTGGAAAAGGACAAAAAGGGACTTCAGAAATAAAATGGTTCTGGTAGAAAGACAGACAAAAAGGGAGAGAAAGCCAATAAAACCACCGATATTGCTGCAGAAAGAGGAAAGTTATGAAATATTTATACCTAAATCCAACAATCCAGACTGCCAATAA